TACCTCTCATACTCACATTCACTCCGTTTTCTAACATCGAGAAATCATCCACCGAAGCTTCTCTGACGGAGCACAAGCACAATTCCTCACATGGATCACAGCACATGTCCAAGGCTCTGGTTTTGCTGGAATTATACACACAGATGGGGGCTTCATTTCTATTTACATATATCCTTTAAAAGGAAACGCTCCGCCCCCAGCTGCCTTCAAGCTGCCTGTTGAATCGCGGAAGGAAATCCCCAGATACACTGCAAGTAAAGTTCGAACTTCACTCTTGCTTTCGAAACACTTTTCAGAATTTGATGTGAGCGCGAATAAAAGCAGCTTCCAAACTTGCCTCGTGAAACCTGAAGCTTTTTTTTTGTGAACAAGTCTTACCCTTCGTTTAACTTTCGTATCGCAAATCTCTCTTCAATCTGATACATGACTTCAGGCGAAATCACATTCAAGATTTAGTGTGCCAGGGAGAAATAAATATTTCTCAACAAGTTTTGGATGAGACATTAAACTGTGACCACCACCTCCTCTGGTTGCACACTCCAGGCACTCACCACCCTCGGAGTCCAAAAAAAAGACCTGTGATTATGATTTAAATGGCGTTTGGGTGTGTGACTTACTCGTTTACATTAACAATGAGATATGGTTTATCTTGAGCCCTAGTTTATTATCGTTGAAATACAAGATGGATACATATGAGCACAACTCTATAAAACCCATCTTACCGTTTAATTCCCCAAGTAACATTACAGTTCTCAAATGCACTCACACTGCTTTTTGTAGATTTATTTCAAAAATATACTTTAGTCATGAAAAAAATTTTGTGTGTACACATTGTCACAAATGCAGTTTGATTCTACAGAGTAGCATATCAAGTAAACAAGTCCTTAAGAAGGGTAATATACAAAACATTGACTGCTCCTTTCTTCCAGATGCTGCCTGGCCTGCTGTGTTCTTCCAGCATCTTGTTTGTCCAAATTGGATTCCAGCATTTGCAGTTTTTTTTGTCCCAAATAAACAAAACATTTGGGTTTGACTCTATCTTAACAAGCCAGAGGTATCTCTTACACGTACAAGACTATATTTACATGCATTGGGGTACTATTGGGGTCCGATAATTGATAAAGAGGTTATTATTACCGTGATTGAAGCTGGTCAAACTGGAGTTGAGGCTGTTCTTCTTCTGCTCCTGATGCTCCTGTTTCTTGATCCTGATGTTCAACCTGGAGAGTGTGAGACACCTGCTCCCCATGCCCGGATTTTAGTGGTTTTTTTTAAAGTAGTTATCTGGGTCATTTCCGTGTAAAGTTGCTTCACAGTAGTTTGATGTAACATTTAGTTCAGTTACTTGATGTTAATTGAGTTTCTGTCCCAGGAAGGGCGTTACAAAAGAGAGACTTGGATATTGTAATTTCCCAATTGATTGAGCTGACCCTAGGAGCCCCGCTGTCTCAAAAGCAGTTCCACTGAAACCCAGATGGATTGTTCAACATTGTCTCTTCAACATCTGTACAACCATCAATCAAGATGAATGCCTCACATACTTGTCTGGCTTGATCCAAGTGAATGCTGCAAGCTTCTGGCTTAATATCTCAGTTCCACTGTGACATTAACACGTATTCAATGTACTCAATCAAGGGAACTGTTTGTATATATGTGTGAATGGCCTGATCCAATTCCCAGCACACTGGCCAATCTTCCCAGCATGCCCTTCAGTCAGCCAGTGTTGCTTTCAATGTCCGAAAAAAGCTGTTATTTTATTTCAAAGGGACATTCCACCTCTTACAAAAGAGGATACAAAGATTTCGTACATAGCTCCAGGACTTTCCTCACCTGCCTCCCTCAGTGTTCTGGGATAGATCTCATCAAGTCCCGGGGACTTGTCTACCTTAATACTTTTTAAAACACCCAATACTTGCTCCTTTTTTATATTGAAGTGCCCTAGAATGTCAATATACCTTTCCCAAAACTCACCATCCACCATATCCTTCTGCTTTGTGAATATTGATGCAAAGTATTTGTTAAGGACCTCTCTCATTTACTCCAGCTCCATGCATAAATTTACATTTAGATTTTAGATTCTACTGTCAAGTTTACTTAAATACAGGAGTACAGTGAAAACACACATCGCCATCTAAGGTACAAAGATACCTAGGTACAACTAAACTTTGGTACAAAGTATTAAAAGAAACAAAGTTAACACAACAAGTTGAAAAAGAAAGAAATAAGTTAACATTAAAGCCCTTCTTTATATAAACACAGAAAATAAAGGATTTAAGTTAAAATGTGATGAACCCTCCACTTACCTCGCTCTCCGGGAGACCTGTCTGCTCGTGATGCTGCTGCTGTAGATACTGGGGACCTCACTCACCGCTCGCTTTCCCACGTAGGGCCACAAGGATGTTGCTGAGGCTATTGCTGAAGTTGCCACCCCTCTGATCTCCTCCTGGTGCCTCCAGAACATGGACCAGCAGGACCCGCTCGCACATCAAAACACTGCCGCACTGGGCTGACAGACTACTACTGGCCTCTGAGAGACCAGGCCAAGACTGTATCGTAGTGGGCTGAGATGCCAGCATAGGCTTCTGCGAGACCGTGCCGAGACACTGCCACACAAGGCCAAGACAACGCCACACATGGCCGAGAGAATGGGCCGAAACACTGCCACACAAGGCCAAGAGACCGCCACACAAGGCCGAGAGACCACCACACAAGGCCGAGAGACCGCCACACAAGGCCGAGAGACCGCCACACAAGGCCAAGACACCTCCACACAAGGCCAAAAGGCCGGGCCGAGACACCACCACACAAGGCCGAGAGACCGGGCTGAGACATTGCCGAGGGCCTTCAAGAGATGGGCTGAGACACTGCCACAACAGGCCAAGAGACTACCACGGGCTGCCGAGAGACCGTGTAAGGACACCGGGCCGAGACAATGCCACACCAGGTCTAGAGACCACTGCAGGCCGCCAACAGACCGGGCTGAAAGACTGCCCTCCAAGGTCTCCTTGTTCACGCACTGTATTTGGAAGGTACTTTTCCCAGATCTCGGATCTAAGTGATATTTTGAAACAGGATCTAGGAAAAACTACTTGAGTGAAAAACTGCAAAAGTAACATTCGTGGGGATGAAATAACTGGCAGAGAGAGAATGGTACATGTGGAGGGAATTGCGGGTCAGCATAGGAGTTATGTAGAGTAGGGACAATCACATTGCAATTACTGTGGTGTCGAACAATGTGGAAAAAGGGCGTGATATTTGGATATTTGGTATCTGTGGAGTGAGAGAACAAAAGATCAATAAACATGGGGGCAAAATGGCAGAAGTTCAGTCACACCCTCAAGGATGCCCCCTCTGCTGGACAAATACAGAATGATATATCTACAGATTGTAAACCAGGGGAAAGCGAGTTATGTCCACAATACCACCAATTTTGGTGTCATCTACAAACTTACTAATCATACTTCCTATACTCACATTCAAACTATTGATATAAATGATGAAAAGCCATGACCTAAATGAATGGTTGGGCCGAATGGTCTACTCGTGTTGCTATGTTGTGACGGGGTCATTGCAGCTGGAGTGCATATTTTTCTTAATATTGTAATAATGTAGTCTCCAGTGACCTTCAGTTCCACAGACCCAAACAGATGGATCACTGCCTCCCTCTGCTGGAGTATCCCCTGCACTGCAAGTAAGAGCCATTTGAAGTTACAACACAAAAGCAAGCAAAATTGCCGACGTTGTTATCAATAAATGCACAAATCTGCTCCCAACTGTTTACCCACATTATTCCCATAAACCCTTTATTAAACTAATGATGCTCAAAAATCTAACTTCTAAAGACTTTCTAATTTTCTAAACAATTCAAATTGCACCATCTGTCACAGTGGGACTTGAATCTGCGCGCCGGAACATCTCCTCAGCTGCAGATGGCACCAATATTCCCATCGCCTCCTCCACAAGCCATGCTCTATAATCCATTATTCCCTTCTCCGTCGTGAATGCATGAAACTTTGTCAAAAGAATGCATGCAGACTGCTACAAACACTCCATTCTGCAGCGAGTTCCACACCCGCAACAGTATGTGGAAAAAAAGTCCCCCAAAATTCGATGCACTTTTCCATGCAACAAATCTTTCCTCTGGACTTATCCAAAAGCAGAAATGTTTTCTGCAAAGTCACACTTTCAAATTCCTTCCCCAAATTTAAAGACTATAGGCATCTTCGACACTCTGCAGTATCATTTCCTGGCTGTAGCAGCTCCTCAATCTTAATAAATTGCACGGCAGTATGGATGGCAATATGTTCAGTGGTTAACACGGATGCCTCACTGTACCAGGGAACTAGGTTCAAATCTACCTTTGGGCTGTGTGGAGTTTGCAAAATCTTCTCATGTCGGGGTGGTTGGGTTTCCTCTCACAGCCCATGCCCGATGCGCAGGTTAGGTAAACTATCCGGCAGCATTCATGCTGCGGAGGCGACGGGGGAATGAATTATGAGACTCAAAACGTGCACGATGATGTTTGAAGTTGGCTCCGAAGTTTTGCTGCTGCTTGCCGAGCAAAACACCAAACTCCGCACACATTAAATCTAACTTTTAATTTTTATGTCAGGGGAGAGCGCGAACGCAGTCCCCCACTACCACAAATTTTGCAGTCGAGTATCCCGCATTTGGGGACATCGCAGGCGTCAGCACACCCGAAGTGCAATGGGATAGCCTCGTCCTGGGAGAACCACCTTGTTGATCATGGTATCTCCCCTGCCAGGTAAGTATGCTTCAATATCTCACTCGCTCACATCCCACAACACCCGCTACCTCTCATACTCACATTCACTCCGTTTTCTAACATCGAGAAATCACCCACCGAAGCTTCCCTGCCGGAGCACAAGCACAATTCCTCACATGGATCACAGCACATCTCCAATGCTCCTGTTTTACTGGAATAATACGCACAGATGAGGGCTAAACGTCTTATTTGCATATATCCCTTAAAAGGAAACGCTCCGCCCCCAACTGCCTTCAAGCTGTCTCCTGATTCGCGGAAAGAATTCCCCAGATATACTGCAAGTTCGAACTTCACTCTGTTTTCGAAACACTTTCAGAATTTGATGTGAACGCAAATAAAAGCAACTTCCAAACTT